GTAGTCCCCACTTCCTGCTCTCTTCGGCTATCCTCTCCTCCATTACCCTGTCGAGCTCTGCTAGCTTCTTTCCCCACTCTTCCTCCATTTTTGTGAGCTCTAACTCGCAATCTTCCCTCCCAGGTTCCTCCCTCCTGGGTTCGGCCTCCAGACCCCTGGGTCTCCGCCCTCTTGGTGTGTGTGTGTGTGTGGTGTGTGGTGTGGTGTTGTGGGTGTGTGTGTGTGTGTTGTGTGTTTGTGTTGTGTGTGTGCAGGTGTGTGTACTTACCTAATTGTGGTTGTAGGGGTTCGATACTCGTTTCGTATGTATTGTGTGCAGACTAGATAAAACTTGCGATTTTGGCTAAATTGCAACGGCTCTTCTTGCCGAATAAAGCAAGCGAAAATTTGTGTATACAATAATTTTGCAAAATCATTATGACCTAACGACCTAGCTAAAATTGGTCCAATTGCAACAACTCATTCAAATTAATTCTTTCAAAAATTTTCTCTTATACGTTGGAGATATATCTGCTTTCATTTATGTTAATACAAAAATTAATATTTTGTAACAAGAACCTTTGACCATTTGAAAACTTAACACTAAACCTCTGTTGTATGAACTAAGCTCAATTATAATTTTAGCCGAATCCTAACCAAAATATATTTAGATAAGCTTACAATATTTTAAATCCAAAAACAAAACACAATGAAATGATTTTTGTGAAATTATGTTGCATACAAAATTTTCTTACATTTTCATTATTTGGCAAGAAGATGCGTTGCTATTTTAAATTCAAAATTGCAAGTTTTTACCGTTATTTCAGCATGATTATATATAATTATAATATATATATATTATGTATATTATAATATATATATATATATAATATATATATATATATATAAATATATATATATATATATATATATTACATATATATATATATATATATATAATAATATATATATATATATGTATATATACATATTATGGTGTTCAGATGCTGAAGATGGTAATGCTGAATTTCATACACCAATGTCAGAGACTCAATCAGAGAGGGGAAGAGAGAGATCCTAGACCTGTTAGCACACCTGCCGACACTATTCCAGCATCTGGCAGCAGTGCTTCATCGGCAAGTTCTGAGTCAGGAGTTTCTCCACCAGAGATTGGTGCAGTTAATAATCAGTGAACTATCATAGCACCTGATCGCCTACTGCGCCAAAGTACGAACAGCAGGGACACATCTGTCAGAACTTGTAGAGGACGGGGTAGAGGACGTGGAAGAGGACGTGGAGGAGGAAGACATCTACAGCCGTCTCACCCTCCACTAACACAGTCCCAGCGGCAGAACCTGAGGACAAATCAGCAAAACACAGGAGGTGCAACAAATCATAGACCCTCCTCCCAGGCACCTAGGCAGTGCTCTCGCTGTCACCGGAAGGGGCACATCGCCAACAACTGCCTGCGAGATACCAAGTGCAATTACTGCTACAAGAAAGGACATCAGGAGGGCCAGTGTAGGAAGAAAAAGGAACTTGACAGACAGGACCACCTGTTTAGAGACCTGTTCTCGGAACAAACCAGCAGGATCTCTGTTCGCCGTTGCCCAGCGGTGAGAGTAGCCACTCTCATTGCTGAGGTCCAGGTAATAAACCCTGGAGAATAACATACATCTGAATTGGTGAACACTCTCACACGTCACCCACTCAGCTACTCCTATCTCAGCCCAGCAGGTGGTATTGTGCCTTATACAAGAGACCACAGACCTACATCCCTGCAGCTGCCTCAGTACCCTACCTCTTTCAAGGGCAGGCACCTTACATGCCCTACACACCCACCACCTCAAGCTGACCACATCATGAGGAGCCAGTCTATCAGCATCCTGTCGGCCAACGTTAGAGGTTTCATTACTAATGTTGGAGAGCTCACACATAGTTTTGTGAACACTCGACGTCCCGACATGATAGCTGTTGTTGAAACATTTTTGGACGACAGGACTCCAGAAAAATTTGCAAGAATTGCTGGCTACACCTCATGGATGAGAAGAGATAGGCAAGGGCAAGGAGGAGGTGTTCAAGTGTGCTCTCTAAAAGTGTTCATGCCCAGCACATTGATGTTGCCACCCCTACTCATCTTGAAATGATGTTCTTCAAGCTCTGCATAAACACTAGTACCTCTGTACTAGCATGTGCAACATGCAGACCCCATCAACTTCCTAATGGAAAATATGGACTCCCTTCTGCTACAACACAACTGTCAACATATCATAATTGTTGGTGACCTCAACCAACACCTTATACAGAGGGACTTTGATGACCTTCTTGCAGTATTTGACATGAGAAACTTTGTTGATTTCCCTACTCACATCTCGGGCTCCTCCCTTGACCCAGTAGTGAGTGATCTGGCCTAGTCACTTGTCAACCCCTCGGCTACGTTAGATCATCTGACCACAAGGCTGTTTTTACGACACTTAAGATCCCAACAGAGCGAGGTGAGGAGTCCAAACGCACAACCTGGCTATGGGAAAGAGGTAATTGGCCGGCCCTTTGCTCTGAGCTCGCCACCACCGATTGGAATGTTCTTCTTCAAGGGGATGTTGACAACCAAGTGAAAGCCTTCACTGGACACATCCTTAATCTACAACAAGAACACATTCCTCAACGGCAATATGTGACGAAGCCTACAGATCAACCTTGGTTTGGCTTTCGTTGTAGAGAGCTGCTACTGCTAAGTACAAAGCATGGCGAAGGTATAAGAGACATCCTACCACCTATAACAGGAGCTTGCATAAGCAAGCCTGTAGGCATATGGGTAACGTTCAAAGGTGGGTCATTGCTAAATGGGAGGTGGACACAAAAAGAAAGCTAGCATCAAGTAGGGTAGGCTCCAAAACCTGGTGGTCCCTGGTCAAGGACAGACAAGGTTATCTGCCTGATGAACTCATTCCACCTCTAAATCGACAGGATGGGACCACCTTTACTAGTAGTCAAGAGACGGCGGACCTCTTTGCCGAACACTTTGCTACCAAAATGCAAGTTCCTGATCCAGAAAGGGCCCCAGGGACCCTCCTTGGCTAGCTGCAAGAACTGTGTCAAAACTGTCAGTGGTGACAATAAGGCAGGGGGAGGTGCATTTCCTTCTTAAATCGCTTGACCAAGAAAAGGCTGTGAGCCCAGACAAGTTAAGCCCAAGATTGCTGAGAAGATGTGCAGACCAGCTAGCAGCACCTCTAACTCGCATCTCAGCACTGCCTAGTAAAGTGTAAATGGCCCTCTGTGGAAAGAGGCAAATGTAGTCCCTGTTCACAAAAAGAAGAGCAGAGCAGAAATCAGCAACTACAGACCAGTGTCACTCCTGTCAGTCACTGGTAAGATCCTTGAGACAATAATCTCAAGACAAATGACGGAGTTTTTTGACTACCACTCACTACTTTGTGATCGTCAATATGGCTTCAGGAAAGGTTGCTCTGCTGCTGATCTGTTGTTAAACCTCTCCACTAAGTGGCGTAGCACTGGACATTGCTGGTGCTTTCGACCGGGTGTGGCACCAGGGCCTCTTAGCAAAACTTCAAGCACTGGGAATTGCAGGCTCTATGCTATGTCTCCTCAGTGATTATCTTCATGATAGATCTCTAAGTGTAGTTCTCAATGGAACGGAATCAGCAAGACATCCTATTGGGGCAAGTGTTCCACAAGGAAGCGTGCTGGGACCATTGTTATAGAATGTCTACTTCAACGACCTTCTTCATCTCATCCCAGAATACCATGCATATGCAGACGACTGTACACTGACATTCACTTATCCAAGAGAAGAAATGCCAGCTGCTCTAAGCTACATCAATCACCAGCTAAGAACTATATCAGCTTGGGGAAATAGATAAGATAAGATTTCGTAGATGGCAAGTAACATTTGCACCTGAGAAAACGCAAATGATGATCGTCTCTAGGCACCATGATGGTAATGCTGGTGCAGTAGTAAGGATGAATGGGAGGGTGTTGGCACCTGGAGAAGAAGTTGATATCCTTGGGGTGAAATTTGACTCCAAACTAACCATGAAGAACCATGTTGTAAATCTTGCAAACAAGGCAGCCAGGAAGCTTACAGCACTTCGCCGTATCTCGCATCTGCTTGACAGTAGGAGTTGCAAGATTCTGTACGAGGCCCAAGTACGCTCGCACCTTGAGTATGCTCCACTTTCTTGGTTTGCCTGCCCCCCTCTCATCTGCGACTGCTTGACAGAGTAGAGAACAGAGCAAGACGTCTCATTTCTCGCCTGGACCCATCCTGGATAGATCTGTCATTTCAGCAGAGCCTTCAACACAGGAGGGATGTGGTTGGCCTTACTGTTATGTACAAGGCCAATATTGTCAAAGTACCACACTTGGATCCACTTCGAGGACAGCATTAAACAAGCTTTTATGCCACAAGACGGGCAGAAAGCAGCAACTTCACTCTGGCTGTACCCTTCTCCAGAACATCACTCCATCTGAGATCATATATACTCAGGATGACTCGAGTATGGAACACATTCGTACAGTATAATGATGTCAACGAGATAAAGCCAGTTGATCAAATGAAAATGCTGGCCCACAGATGGCTCCAACTTCATCCTGTTCCCTACCTGTATGTCTCATAACAATAAAAATGCTTTCAAATGAGCTGATGTAGGTAACAGCTCTTAGCTTGCCAATAAAATTTGGAGTCCTTAACCTGTAAATAGCTTGTCAATAAAGCTAGGGATCCTTAACCTTGTCAAACCCTGTGTAAAAAAAGAGAGAGAGGGAGGAGAGAGAGAAAGAGAGAGAGAGAGAGAGAGAGAGAGAGAGAGAGAGAGAGAGAGAGAGAGAGAGAGAGAGAGAGAGAGAGAGAGAGAGAGAGAGAGAGAGAGCTGCTACATGTACCCCTCTGGCTAACTTTGTTATTCAGCATTGACCAATCCGCCTACCTTACTTAGGTTCACCTCTACTATGCTAATGATCAGTTGGTGAAAGTAAGGTAGCGCGTGCCCCTGGCTCACCTAGGAGGTAGGTGTGAGGGACGCTGCAGGAGTCGAGGAAGGCCAGCACCCTCCTGGTGGGGGCGACCGCGTCCTCTACCACCAGCCAGTGCAAGTTACTCACCAACATCAGCGTCTGTGCTAGTCTCGTCAGCTCCGCCACCTGTGTGTGCCAACAACATAACTAAAGTTTATCTAAATTATTGACAGGTATACATATTTATTTCAACAAACCGGCTGTATCCCACCTAGGAAGGGTGATCTAAAAAGAAAAAGTTTTTCTTTATAAATTTAGTAATTTATGCAGAAGAAAGGGTTACTAGCCTCTTACTACCGGCAAAATTTGCGAACAAGTGACAGGAGATCATTCAACTCCCCAAAGGGGGAGATAAATGATAGTTCTAGGTTGTTACAGAGTACTGTAAAAAAATATTTATATAAAATAACGCTCCATATATAATATCATTTTCCATGTAATATACTGAAAGCGGAAGTGTATTATTCCCTGAAAGCGAACGCGTTTTATTCCTGTCAGTTAGGCAGCGGCCAGGACAGGAGCAGATAAGAAGTGTGTTTAGTTCAGTAGGAGTCGGGTGGTAACGGGGGTAAAGTCATCATGTTTGGGAGTTAGTCTGAGTAGGTAATTTTGGTAAGTTTTTTAGTGTATACTATAGGTGTTTGTGTTTAAGTGCTATCATGTTTATTTGTAAGGCCGTAGTATGCAGAGGCCTGTTTATGTGAAAGTACTGTATGGTGTTTTGCCTCTGGTAATTATTCACCAACAAAGTGAAACGGGGGTGTTGGGGCATGAGCCCCCCTGATGATTTTTTTTTAATTATTAGTAGCAGTGTGCTAGGAGCTAATGTGACGGGAGTGGGGTTTTTTTGTAGTAGTTATAATTGTATATAATTTAATTATTTGTATATAATTAATTAAAAAGTTGTATATAAGGACCGGCCCTTTTTAAAGTTACGACATCAAAGTCGTAACAAGGTCTTTCGTGTTCAGCAAACATCGCGGAGCTTGCACTTTTTTATAGAAATGATAGGAAATCCAAGCATATTGTTCGGGAGAACGTTTTTTCTAAAGCAACATATAAATAATATAATATATATAATATATAATATAAATATATATATATAAAATATATATATTAAAAAATTATTATAATATATTTAATATATAAAATAATATATATTTGATGTAAAAAAAAGAAACATTTTTTATTTCCTCTTCGGTCACACAAATTTTTTCAATGTGTGTGTGTGTGTATGTACGTGTGCAACCACAAATTAGAAAATAAGTACAGACTGATTTAAACACAAAATAAATCACAGGGGGAAAAACAAAACGTTTGATGGGAAATATGCCATTTCGGCCTCACACGATCAAGTTTCCAACTCCTTTTTTTTTTCTCATAATCTGCATAATTATTTTCATTTTCATTTGACCTTTTTATGGTGTCAAACTGAAATCCAGTATGCGACCTGCACCGTGGGGAATTTGAAAAACCATGACCTTACCCAGGGGGTCACCGATCGTCTTGAATTTTCATAAAACCGCAAACCACGTGTTTTGAATATTGAATATTTTAATTCAGTTAAACAGCAAGTCAGGAACCGATTTCCCCCACCCCCGTCTCTGAAAGAGTAAACAGGTTTTGCTTGAGGAATGACCAAAATTTTCCTGGAAACTTTAAAATGTTTTGAATCAACTCTTAACGACGAGCTTTTTTTACCTGCTGATGAGGACCAATTTAAATAACTTTAACTTTTCATTTTTTTTTCATTTCAGACGATGATTGTTTATGTGAATCATTGGTAAACAGTCATTTTTAAGAATAAAAAAGATAGTTACAGTTAAATTACTTTCAACAACTCACAATTTTATATTTCCATAATAAAATTTTTCAATATTTATTTTTGAAACTTTGTAATTAAGAAAAATTTACGTCCTATAAATAAAAAAAGATGACAACCAAAACAAACTATGATAAATTTCTTTATTTAAGTAGTGTGTAAGCCATAAATTTAAATCTCCCCCAAATCCCAGGCATCTAGTCGCTGGGGCACTGCAACTTATATTGCATTTTAAATCAAAATGTAATCATGCAAAAAAATAAATTTTTTTTTTTTTCCTTTTTTGTTATTTTGTTCTATCAATAAATGGGACGACATTTATCCTTCAGGTAGCAAAATTAAAAAAATAAAAATAGCTTCCCTATTATTCTTTTTTGCAAAATAAAAAATTTTTGAAGGTATTAACGCACCAATATTTTTTTTTATTTTTTTTAAAAGATAATAAATTATACGTTTTTCTTGCGATTAAAATGAAGTGAATGTTAATTTCAGATTGCTTCTTCAAGAGCATAAAATCGAAATTCTGTTTTACACAAAAAACATCTCTCATCAGACGTATTAGGCTGCCATCACCAAAAGGAGACACCGTTCTGAGGAACAAAAAAAATTTTTGGATAAAAAAGGGGAAACCTTACCATTAAACCCACAAAAGCTTTCTTTTAATCATCTTTTCCCTGAATTAAACCTAAATCCTTCCCACACCCCCACGGGCGCTGAAAATCCTACTTTTTTGTCTTTTCCCCCTTTATTATAAAAATAATAATATATATCATCAAAAACATTTGACTCACCGGCGGACCCGAGAATGGAAGGGAAAATTAAAAAATGTCTCTTCACTACTTTAAAAAAAATGCACCTTTTCATATATAAATTTTTACTATAAATACAAAGAATTTTGTGGGTAATATCCCACTCGAATTTAACTCACTAATCTTTTAAAAGTAGCAAAAGTATACAATAAAACGACAAGCCAAAGTAAGAACTGTCCCCATAAATTTTATTAATGATTCTTTAGAATATTCCATTTACATGACTGTTGTTAAAAAGATTATGACCGTCAGAAAAAAACAAGCTGGGGAGGTGACACCAAACATATCACTCACTCCTTTAATTTTTCAGAAAAATCAGCAAGGATTAATGAGGATGGAATTGAATTTCTGGTGGTCTACCCTTTTTTTTTTTTTTTGTCTCCCAAACTTTTTCTTGACCTTAGAGAAGACTCCAAATTTAATTTTCTTTTACTCATTTCCACACGACTTCATTGTCTTCCATGTGATCACGCTCCTTCACTTATTTCCTGATTATTTTTTTGTTTTTACCCGCCGGAGCGTTGTGCAGATGGGGGTTTCAGTCTTTTTCGATAAATAAATTTTTACACTGTTTTTAAAGGGGTTTTTCTTCACCTTTCTTGTTTCTTGCTTTTCCGCAAAATTTTTTTTTATTTTATTTCAGTTTTTTTTCTGTTTTCCACGTTCTTGCACTTCTATGTTTTGCCTTTTCATTTTTCTATGAACACGGGTAATCTGGTTCCTTTCCTTTCCATTCTTAGCTTTAGAAAATACTTTGTTGCTGGTTTTTCAGTCATCTCATTCAACATCTTTTCTCTTTTTCCCTCTCGTTTTTTACTACGTTCCCCAATTCATTTTTCATTCATACTTTTTTTCTGGAATCAATTTTCTTAAAAAAAAAAATGGACTTTACTTCACACTCCGTGGGGGCTCCAAAATTTTAACGATGTTGAGAATTAATTATACCCGTCAGTTGTAAGCGTTTTTAAGGGAAACCCCCCTTCACGTCCTTTTTTTTTTATAAATTTTTATTAAAAAGTAACCTATCCCCAAGGATTGCAGGTTAAATTTGGTTTTTCTTTAACTAAATGATACTCATGTCAAAATAATTTTCTGTCAGAAAGGGATGTAAGGGACTGACTGGGGGCGCAGTTGTGGGGGCCGCTGCCGGGAGGCTCACATACCCCCCCGTGAAAGAAATTCTGGTACTGCCCAGGGACAAGCATTTCAATTGTGGAGGTGCCCAAGGTATTTACACATACCACACACACACACATACACACCACACACACACACCACCACACACACACACACCACACACACACACAACACACACACACACACACACACAACCACACACACAACACACACACACATTTTTAAAAAAAAGGGGAAAAGAAAAGAGGGACTAACCATAGACCTGTGTCATTTACGTGTATAGTATGCAAAATTTTGGGGAAGATTTTCAAGAGAGGGGGGAACCCCGGGAACGGAACGGGGAGTAAAAGCCAACCCCGCCGGATTCAGGGAAGGCAAATCCTTGTCACAAACCTTCGGGAGTTTTTGAAAAAATAACAGAAGAAAGACAAGAGAGGAGGGGGGGTTTTTGTTTGCATCTTCTTGGATGCAAGAAGGCCCTTTTGACACATTTCCCTCAAAAGGTTTATGCAGAAGCAGAGCTCAGGCGCATAAAACAGGAAGGGCACTGCAATGGATAAGGAATACCTGACAGGGAGGAACAACGAGTCGGGTACGAATAAAGTTCACAGGGGCACCTTGACGAGGGGGGGCCCCACAGGGGGGGTCCTAGGACCAGTGCTTTTTTTGGTTATGGAAACGAAGACGGAAGGGCTAGATGAATGCCCCTTTTTTGCAGATATGTGAAGTTAATGAAGAAAAAATCTATGAGGACCGGGCAGGATTTCAAAGAGACCGGGACAACGGACACCTGGCCCAAAAAAGGGCTTCTCAAATTTTAAACCTCCCAAAATGCAAATATAAAAGATAGGGAAGGGCACAGAAACCACAGACGGGTAAGGCTAGGGGGCCAAAGACTGCAAACCTCACTCAAGAAAAGATTTTGGGGGGATAACACCGACAAGCCCCGGGAAGCACACATGTCAGATAATGCTGCAGCTATGGCGCCTGGCAAACCTGAGAACACTTTCCCGAACCTTAGTAAGGAACATTAAAGACACTGTACACCGTGTATGTCGGGCCCATACGGGAGTATCACACCTGTTTGGAACCCGCCTTGTAAAGCCGTCAAAAAAACTGGAGAAAGTAAAAGGGTTTGCAAAAAAGGGTTTATTTTCCAGAGAAAAAGGGGAATGTCCTATAAAAAAGTTTAAGGGAAATGGGCCTGACGCACGGGAGGACAGGGGGGGTCAGGGGGACAGATAACGACATAAAAATACGCGTGGAATGACAAGGGGACAGAGACGGGATTTTCCCCGGGGGGGACCAAAAACAAGAGGCCAAAATTTGGAAGTGAAGACACAAATGATTCAAAAGAA